ATTGGTTATTTTTAGATTTTTTTTTGTAGTTGTGATGATTTGATTTTTTTTTGTTTTTCTGGAAATTTCTGGGTTGTTACAGTCCTTCCCCCTCACAGAAATCTCATCCCGAGATTTAAGGTGTGACATACCTTTCGAAGAGGTAGGGGTAAAGCATCCAGAGTTCGGACTCCTTCTCCCATGTAGCTTCCCGTTCAGTGTGGTTGCTCCACTGAACCTTGCACATGGGTATCACGGTGCTTCTAGTCTCCTTCTCAGCTCTGTCTAGTATCCGGATCGGGTGTTCTTTGTACTCTAGAGTGTCCTGAATATCTAGTGCATCTATGTGTACCTCTTGCTCTGGCAACTGCAAGCACTTGCGTAGCTGGGACACGTGAAACACTGGGTGTACTCCTGTCAACTCCTCGGGCAACTCTACCTTGTATGCCAACTTGCCGATCCTCTGACAAATCCTGTAAGGTCCCACGTACCTGGGGACCAACTTCCCTTTCACATGAAATCTGACAGTGCCTCGGAGTGGGGACACTTTGAGATAGACATAGTCCCCAACTTGAAACTCGAGGTCTCTCCGACGGTTATCTACGTAGCTCTTCTGTCGGCTTTGGGCAATCCTCAGGTTCTCTCGCACTTGGGCGACTCCTTCTTCGGCATCTTTGATCTTTGCGGGGCCATAGAATGATCTCTCTCCTACCTCTGACCACATCAGAGGGGTTCTACACTTTCTGCCATACAATGCCTCAAACGGTGACATCTTGAGACTAGCCTGGTAGCTATTGTTGTATGAGAACTCTGCGTGGGACAAGCTTTTCTCCCAATCAGACCCATACTTCAAGACACAAGCTCGGAGCATGTCCTCCAAAATATGATTAACCCTCTCTGTTTGACCATCTGTCTGTGGGTGGTATGCGGTGCTGTAATCCAGTCGAGTCCCTATGGTCTTGTGGAGACTCTTCCAGAACTTGGACACGTATTGCATGCCACGATCAGACACTATGCTAGTGGGGGCTCCATGGAGTCTGAGAATGTGCTCGATGTATAGATCTGCTAACTTCTCAACTCTATAGTCATTCCTCATAGCTATGAAGTGAGCTACCTTGGTCAGTCGGTCAACAATCACCCAAATCGAGTCATGGCCTTTAGGGGTTCGAGGTAAACCCACTATAAAGTCCATGGATATGCTCTCCCATTTCCACACCGGGACATCCAAGGGATTAAGCAACCCGGCCGGTCTCTGATGCTCGGCCTTGACCCTATTGCAAATGTCGCATCGCGCGACATGCCCGGCAATATCTGCCTTCATGTTCTTCCACCAGAACTGATTCTTCATATCGGCATACATTTTGGTGCTTTCTGGGTGGATACAATACTTAGAGTCATGACCCTCTTCCAAGATTTCTTGCCGCAAGGCGGGATCAGATGGTACACAGATTCTGTCCTTGTACCAGTACATTCCTTGCACATCTTCCCTGAACTTGGGGCACTTGCCCCTCTTCATGAGTTCTCGGATCTCCCAGATTTCCGGACACTCTAGTTGAGCATTGCGGATCTGATCCTTGAGGTTGTATTGCACTCGAAGCTCATTTAGCATACCCTTTGGTAGAATCTCAAGACAAAGGTCACCCATTTCCTAACACAGCTCGGGTGGTACAGCTTCCATGGACAGATTGTGGCAATAGCTCTTTTGGCTCAAGGCATCAGCGACTACATTAGATTTTCCCAGATGATAGTGAATCTCCAGGTCATAATCCTTTATAAGCTCTAGCCATCTGCGCTGTCTCATGTTCAGATCCTCTTGTGTGAAGAAGTACTTCAGGCTCTTGTGATCGGTGTAGATATCACACTTATTTTCTGATCAAGTAGTGCCTCCAGATCTTTAGGGCATGCACAACAGCGACAAGCTCAAGATCGTGGGTCGGGTAGCGTTGCTCATGGTCCTTCAACTATCGGGACGCATAGGCAATGACTCTCCCACTCTGCATCAAAACACAACCCAGTCCCTGTCTGGATGCATCACAATAGACTATGAAGTCTTTCTGGATATCGGGCAAGGCAAGAATAGGAGTGGTGGTAAGCTTCTGTTTCAGAGTCTGGAAGCTGTGCTCGCACTCGGGCGTCCATTCAAACTCATTAGTCTTCTTTAGTAGGTTGGTCATGGGCTTGGCTATCTTTGAGAAGTTCTCGATGAACCTTCGATAGTACTCGGCCAATCCGAGAAAACTACGGATATCGGTCACATTGCGGGGTTGTTCCCACTCCTTCACAGCTTCAATCTTTGCGGGATCTATAGCGACTCCCTCAGCAGTGAGAACGTGACCAAGAAAGGTGACTTTTTCGAGCTAGAAGTCACACTTGCTAAACTTGGCATAAAGCTGATTCTACCTCAACTTCTCTAGAACCACTCTCAAGTGTTGTTCATGCTCTTCGACGGTGGAGGAATAGATAAGGATGTCATCAATGAACACCACCATGAACTTGTCCAGCTCAATCATGAATACCTTATTCATCATGTTCATGAAATAAGCTGGGGCATTAGTGAGTCCGAAGGACACCACTGTGAACTCATATTGACCATATCTGGTGACGAAAGCTATCTTAGGAATGTCCTCGGGTCTGATTTTCATCTGATGATACCCAGACCTGAGATTAATCTTGGAAAAGTACTTGGCATCTTTCAGTTGATCTAGGAGGTCATCAATCCTGGGCAGAGGATACTTGTTCTTGACTGTCACGGCATTCAAGTTCCGATAGTCAATGCACATCCTCATGGATCCATCCTTCTTTTTCATGAACAAAACAGGGGAACCCCAGGGTGAAGCACTGGGTCTGATGTACCCCTTGTCCGACAACTCCTTGAGCTGTTTCTTTAGCTCCTCTAGCTCATCGACTGACATGCGGTAGGGTCTTTTAGCAATAGGCCCGGTACCAGGCAGAAGGTCAATCACAAACTCTACATCCCGATCAGGTGGCATGCCTGGCAATTCCTCAGGAAACACGTCAGGGTATTCATTCACAACGGTTACCTCCTCGACTATCTTGGCCTCTAAGGCACACAACATAGAGACTGTCTTTCCCTGATTAGGCTTACAGCGGATTATGTGACCACTCGGGTGTGTGATCTCTACGTACCTTGGTGAACACGATATCACTCCTTTGTGCTGTGTCAACCAATCCATTCCCAGTATGACATCTAGTCCCTCAGATGGAAGTAAGGTGAGATCGGCTAGAAAAGGGGAGCCCTCAATGGTGATACTCACTCCCTGCCATCTCTTGGTGCATATAATGCGACCTAAAGGTGAACTAGTGTCAATGGGCTCCATGCGGGGGGTCACAGGTATGCTATGCTCTCGTGCAAACTTGGTGGAAATGTATGAACAAGTAGCTCCAGAGTCAAACAAAACCAAAGCTATAACTCCCTGTACCAAAAACATACCGTACACCACGTCGGGAGCGTCCTGGGCGTCCTCCGCGGTCATGTGGTTGAGACGACTATGGACAACCCCTACAACGTTCTTACGCAGAGCAGCAGGTGTAGCAGCCTGTCTCGCCTGGGTCGGAGCAGGCGGTGTGCCGTTCTTGATGGGGCACTCAGCGATCTTGTGACCGGGCTGGCCACAACCAAAGCAGGTGAAGGGCGCGCTACCTGTGGAGGTGGGCGTAGCGGTCCTCCACGTGCCAGCTCCTTGAGTGGGGCGACTCGGAGCGGGACGGCTCTGAGTGGGGCGGTGGTAGTTGGTGGTGTAGGTACCACCTCCACGGCTCGGAGCGGTCATAGCCCCCTGAGTGTAGCATGAGCAGAGCGGAGGAAGCACGTGAGCACGTGGCCTCTACGGGGTCAGGCCACGAGAGGAACTCTCGAACCAGCGCTTCTTCTCCTTATGGAGGGCATCCGCCTCCAGACGATCCCTCTCCATCTCTAGCACCTTGTTGACCATCTCGCGAAGGTTGCGGCAGGCATGACCCGAGAGGGCCACCTTGAGACGAGAGTTTAGCCCCTTCTTGAAGCAATGCATCTTCTTCTTCTCGGTATCGGTCTCACCTAGAGCATACCTCATCATGCGGGTGAAGCAAGTGGTGTACTCTTGAAGCTTCTGAGAGCCTTGGGAGATGTTGCGAAACTCCTCCACCTTGGCATCCATGACACCTTCGGGCACGTGGTGCTCACAGAAGGCCTCGGCGAACTCCTCCCAAGAGATACTCCTCGGGTCCTCGTGGGCGTCGTAGTATCCGTCCCACCATGTGCGTGCAGCACCAGTGAACTGGTGGGCGGCGACCCCCACGCACTCCTTGTCAGTGCAGGTGGTGAGGTCCAGCTTCTTCTCCATCTCACGGAGCCAGTCCTCGGCAGCGATGGGGTCGTCGTCGGCGGTGTCGAAAGTACGAGGCCTCAGCTTGAGGAAACCCTCCAACTTCCACTAGAAGTCATTGGGAGGACCCCCGTGGTGGTGAAGCATCCCTTGAGCCAGCGCCTCCAAGAGGCGGGTTTGGCGGTCCATCACCTCTGCCAACTGTGGTGGAGGCGGCAGTGGTGCTCCTCCTCCAAGCCGCTGGGCGGCACTCGCCCCCAGTGCGGGCTCCTCCCTGGCACCGAAGGGAGCTCCCCTGCCTCCTCCACGGCCACGGCCATGACCACAGGCCATGGGCGTGGGGGAAAGCAAGCGGTTGTTTAGACGAGCAGAACGGCGGCAAGACATCTCTCTGTAGGGTTAGGTCATTATTTAACATTTTTCGTTAGATGCATTGTTAAGTGGTTTATCAATTTAAAATGAGATTTCTATCCAACACTCATACAAACATGCAAATAAGAACCATAAGATGCAATAAGATCCAAAACATCCATTACATTAATTTATTACATAGCAACATCTCCAGTAGCTACACTAACAGATTCACGGGAATCGTGCTACTCGCAGGCAGCTCCAAAAGTGGGACATCCTACTTTACTCCATGGGTGCGTCATATCTCTGGCCACGCAGGGCTCAACATGTCTACTACTACATTAACTACTCCTGTCCGGGAGTGACGGGTGGTGCAGAAGGACCAGAAGTGGAAGCCTTGGGAGTGCCCTCCATGGCACGGAGCTCGTCGTCGGAGTGGTGGATCCTCGCGACGTAGGTGAGAGCGTAGTCCAGCATCTCTATCCTCGGAACCTCTGAGTAACCCTCCATTGGGCAAGCCTTGAAGTTGAGCTTGGTGGCCTCAACGTGGAAGGGCTGTCTGCGTGGCTTCTTGCACATCCTAGGTAAGAGGATGTCCCGGACCTTCCCGATCTCCTAGATGCGCTTGCGATCAGCGTCGATCGAAGCCTGGTTGATGCGGTTCACCTTGTCCTGAAGGTACTCGGTGCACTTGATGTAGTGAACCAGGTGATGCATGTTGTAGGTGGTGGTGATAGCAGCCTCCATAGCCAGCTTCTCCATCGTGTTACAATGGGCCTCCAGGGCAAGCTTCTTGATGCCATGGTGCTTCTCCTTCTCGTGGAACTCCCTCAAGGTAAGCCTCTGACGCTCAATATGATCCTCACACTCAAGCACCTTGGACTCAAGATAGTCATGGTGAAGCTCAGCCTCCCCAACTTTGTCCTTGAGGTTGGCGATCTCCTCCTGAAGTGACTTCTCATGGGTCTCATAGAAGGTCTTCATTCTATCATAGCCCATGCGCTCCTCCTCGAGCTTGCCGACCATCTCCTCCTCCTTGCGCTCCACCTTGAGGAACTCCTCATCGCAACGGAACAGGAGGTCTCGATAGCGGCGGTTCTGCATCTCCACATCCATGATGTAGTGATCCTGGGCGATGATGTACTGCGCGGAGGCCCTCAGGCAGGGGTCGACCTCGTCACGCGTAGCATGGTCTACAACAGTGATCTACGGCTCCGAGAACCTGTTGAGGTCTAGAGCGGCAGGCAGCAGGCGGTATGGTCCCGTCTTGAGGTAGTCGTGTGCGTCACGCATCACACTACGAAGAGCAGTGCGCGAGACGGACTGCACGCACGAAGCGATGGAGTTCTCCACCTCCAGTGTCTCGAAGGCACGTAGCACGGGTACAAACTCGCTGGTGGGGACTTTGAGGTGGACCATGATGTGGCCCTTGAACCCATTGTGTCCAGGCTCACCCCGGCACACGTACTCGATCTCCTCTGTGGGGATGCCTAGCGAGTCCAGTACTAGTTATTTATGAAGTATCTTGAGTATTACAGAGTGAAACTTGGTAAGACAAGGCGAAGCAAGGTAAATCAGGGTGATACTTGGTGAATCCTGAGTGATACAGGGTGAATCAGGGTGGAACGGAGCGATGTGATGGGTAAGGTAGAATGAAATTTAGGTAAGAGAGTGTGAAATTGAGGTAAGCCATGCACGAAAATGCAACACAATTGGTAATATAACCGAAAGTGTCAAGATCTTTCATAATCCTATTGTCCAAACCTACGGGTTCATCCTAGGGTCAAGCATGGCTCTGATACCAACTGAAACGCCCTTGATTTCCACGAAGGGAAATCCACAGAAACGAAGTGTAAAATGACGAAACGATCCGTCAATTTACCCAAATCTCAGTGATACACCAAGCCATACACGATTATCAGAGTACAATAAAGAGTTTTACCTAAATTATTCTCTTCGCCACGCAGGGCGGAACACACTCACACATAGCATCCTGAACAACATCTGATGAGGATAGCAGCGGGAAATGATCTCCTGGAACTAGCTCGAGCGCAGAACAGACCCTCTAGTCCTCCCAGTCATCTTCCTCGTAGTCGTACTCAGGCTCGGAACCTACCAAAAATCTATCAGTACACTTGGTACTGGCCATGCATCGCCCACCCTATACTTGCATTGCTTTATGGAGAGTGGAATGCATTGGGGGAAGTAGAAAGAGACCTATTTAGGCTGTGGGTTTCCTATGCATGTAGTTAATATTTTAATAATAATATGTTCATCAGGTTTTTTAACCCATCTTATTCACTTGTTCTCCCCACCCATCACACACATCTCATCTCATCTCACTCTCTCTCTAGGCGACGAGATCGACTCCCGCTCAGATCTCGCCTCAACGGCCAAAGCCAGAATCCAACACGAAACCCGGGGGAAAGGTAGAGAAGGACTCCTCTCTCTAATCAAGTAAAGCATAGGTCACGGGAATGTCCATATCCATGGACGCGGCTATACATATAGATCGATCAACTCTGCAGAGCGTGTACACCTGGTAATCCACAAGATCGCCATCCTCGATGATCCGGCTCGTCTAGGCTGATTCCGACTGCCTCCCAACCGGTATAGTACCACCCTACCACTCAGCCCTAGGCCACCCCAGAGTCCACCGAAACGCTAAGACTGTGAGACATAGTACTAGGCCCCCAAGGTCACTATGCTGTCTTAGGAGGGTGTGGGTCCCCATGCCCGTACCTCCCTACACTATCTCCTTCCAACCTAGTAGTAGTGGTACCGCCCTAGTCAGTCGGGTAATCGTCCCCCGCCCATCGGGAGCGAGTGGTGTCCACGAAGGTCCCATGGTTCCGGTTCACAAGACATACCCGTCCTTAGGGGGACCGGACAGGATATCTTCTCAAAAGGGGATCACCAACTCCCCGTGCCACGACAGCACCTCACCAGGGATAACCAACACCTTGGTCCACCTCTCACATATACCCACCACAGGTAACTCTCGCAAGGGATGCCTAGGTCGCACCCCTTCGACAAGACTTGCCCCAAAGACTCGTCATAAGATCCTATCCAATCGACTCAACCCTCACCACACACCCAAAACACACGCCAGGATCTCCCCATGTTCATTATCCAGTTTTACCAAGTTTTACGGCACCTCGTGCCTTACGCACATACGTGTCTCCCTCACCAGCATCACATCATAGATATAATGCGAGTAAGAGCAAAGCAATAAGTATGTAACAAGCGAGCATCTAGCCTATCAGTGGGTGTGCAGGAGTAAGGTTGCAACAAGGTATAAGGCTCAAGTAAAACTACCATGCAACCTAACATCATATTATTGCATAAAAGATAAAGCGCTAGCAATTCTAGTTATAGCAAGCGTAATAGGATCTACGAGATTGGGTGGGGCGTGGCACCTGGCAGGTCGTCTCCCAAGTCCTCGCTGTAGTCGGGGTCGTACTCCTCAGTCGGTAGGTCCTTCGGCTCTGTTAAACGTAACATATGGTCGCGTGAGCGACTCTTATAAAGGTGCACAAAGGAGCAACAGAAATTTGAAAGATCCAAAGGCACTCAAACACAAGCCTATGACATAGAGCTCATTTTTAGAAAAAATTGAACACTGGTTTGGTATTTTTCTGAGTTAAAATGAATTAGTTATGAATTTTCAAAGATTAAATGAATTTCTGAAAAAGAAAAAGAATTGGAAATTCCAGGCAGTGACACGTGGCATTACCCGATTGGCTGGGACGGAGTGAGTCACTGACAGGTGGGTCCGTTGATTGGTCAACGGTCAATGATCAACTTTGACCGGGCCGAGACCGGGCTCTGGTGGGCCGGGTTGGGCCGGGTTGGGCCGGTCTGGGCCGGGCCGGCCCGGACATGTGGCAGCTCCTCGTGATGCCACGTTGGGCTGTGGATTCGAAAAGGGCTCTAGTCTTTGTAGGCGTGGCTCATAGTGGGCATGACCGAGCGGTTCACGGGTGCATGTGGGATCTACGGTGGACCGCGTTCACCTTCTCTTTCTTCCTCTTGGTTCATGATGTACATGGTGCACCGAACTACTGTCCCGGCCCCTCCCCTTGCTTCCCCGCGCGGTGGCGCGCCCGTCGGCAGCGAGCGGCCATTCTCTAGCTCGACAGCATTTTTTTAGGCTCAACCGAAGACTTCTCGGCCCACCCTTGTCCAGTGAGGTGGCCAGTGCGATTGGGAACGCTCTCGGCACGACAGCGCTCTAGAGCGCGGCTCCACCGGCAAGGTAAACGCGAGCAGCTCCCTCACGTGGCTCTCTTCCTCTATCTTGCTGGGCGCGGTGCGTACCTTTCCAAGGCAAAAAAGATAGCCCTCCTTCCCTCACTTCTATCGGCCTGACGCGGCAAGAATGGAACCTCGCCATGGTGAGCTCTAGCCATGGCGGGCAAGCTCCGCAACGCGTCGCCCCTCTAGCGTTCCCAGGCCCTTGGTGCGTAGTGCGGTCCGTGGTTGGGGTGGCAGGTGTGCGTGCGTGTGTGTAGGCAGGGTACAGGGGTCAGGGCCTACTCTTGCTCATTCCTGGTACGAAGACGGCGAAGTGATGCCCACGAACACTACGGTAGAGAGCCGGGAGGGTGCTGGGGCTCACCGTAGGTGGCGATGGTGAAGGGATATCGATACAGGGCGAGTCGAGGCAGTGTCGAGGCGAGGCCGTGCCGTGCCGAGCAGCTACTCTGCTATAGCCGATCGGGTCATCGCCTTCCGTTCTAGTGGCTCCTCTTCGGCGGCTCCGGTAGAACCCTCTCTTATCTACCCCCCTTCTCCCTCCTTCCCCTCCTTCTCTTGGTCGTGACAGGAAGTGGTGGCCACCAGGGCGGTGGCGAGGTGATGGGAAACGGCTAGGGCACCTCGGTGGTGCCTTCTTATAGGGACGTGGTGATCATGGCAAGGTGAACGGTGGGAAGGGGGCTTAGGGCCACATGGAGATGATCGGTGCGCTTTGGCTAGGGTTAAGGTCATGACGCGGTCGTGGGTTGCCTTGGCTCCTCTGTTTTGGCGTAACAACCTGCTCAGGCTTCGTACGAGGGTGCTAGGGGCGGTTGCAAGGGCACGGGCCATAGCGATGGCATCATGGCACGGATGGCTCTAGCTGGGGACGGTAGCAGTGCGGATAGGCGATGTGGCGTCGCATCCACGCGTTCGTTGTCAACCGACGTGAAGAGAACGGCTGGCGATGGAGATTCCCCCTCCTCTGTCCTAACTCGGGCGCGAAAAGGGGGTGAAGGCGCGAGGAGGACGATGACAATGGTGTCCCAGCTGGCGGTGACCAGGAAAAAGGGAAGAGCGGCTCCTGTATAACGCGAACGAAGAGCGGGCTCCCAGCTAGGCCATCTCGGCGTTGTTGGGCCGTGCCGAATCCGTGGCCCATCACGGTGGGAGTGGGGCAGCTGAAAGGCTGGGCCGGTTGGGGGGTTGGGTTGGCCCGCTGGTGCCAGTGCGCGGCCTACTAGGCTGGAGTCCATTCGCGGGCTGTGGAGCCAGGCTGGCTTGAGCTCTAGGGCCAAAAGGGGTTTCTCCATTTTAGCTTAATTGAATTAGCTCTTCTATGTTATGTCTTCATTTTTCTAGCTACTCCATAGTTCCTACATGCATACACATGTGTTGCCTACACATGTATGCCATTTAGCGTTCAACCAAGGGTTGGCAACAACACACACACATTTGTTTAAATATTTAAATAAATGTTGTTGCTTTTATGAATCAATACAAAAGAACATAAGAAGCAACTCATGCAAATTTAATTAAATACAAGGATATAAACATCTACAATAGGTACTACTTATGCAACTAGGGTAGTTTTCCTACAAGACATTCACCAACCATTGGCTATTTTTAGAATTTTTTTTTGTAGTTGTGATGATTTGATTTATTTTGTTTTCTGGAAATTTCTGGGTTGTTACAGCTACTAACCGGATGCTGCTCTTGTCCTGTCCGGGCGCATCCAGTCATCCCGACCGTTGAGCGCGTGCGTTGATCGAACTCACTACCGAGTCCGGTCATCGTCGACCGGACGCGTCTGGTCGCATTTGCGCCACTCTAGAACCTCTATGGACTCGATCGTACGCTGCACTTGGTGTGTTCGG